TCCGCCTGAGCGCCGGTTCTCATCTTAGGTAGCTTCAAGTCCCTCGCAGTTTCTGACAAAGACGAATCCGCATTGCGACCACCGCCATTTATTTCACCGCGCGTTTATCCTTCGTTTATCAGCTCGCCAGTCACGAAGAATCCCACGTCGACGATCGATTCACTCGCTTTCTCTCTTTCGCCGCAGTCGCCCGATCGGTCGATGATCGGGTGACGTGGAGTCGACGTAGCCACCCGTAGTGACCTCTTCGTGCTCCGCGACCTCATCCTCTCGACATGAATTCTCCGGACGCGACGCGGAAGAGGGGATCCCAGGCGCGTGATGACGAGGCGCGATCTCTGGTGGCTCCCACGCCCCCAACGCCCCGCTCGTTAGTCGGAGTCAGCAGCGGTCGTCATCGACGTGTCATTCGGCACCGAGAGTCCCGGTTACCGCGGGGTGGGTTAACATCCCGGAACGACGAAGGACACGAAGAGACATGGGGCCAGGAAGAGCTCCGAACGTGCATCCATCCACCCGTTCCAGCATCGACGACCTGACGCAGCACGCGCGCGATCCCCGTCGCCGAACCGATGCGCCAGCAAATTGTCACGCTCGCGAGAACGTCGTTACGGGGCGAGATTGCCGATCAATGCGCGGATAGTATTGAGACGAGAGGATAACGAGACCCACCTTCTTAGTGACAAGCGAGAACGCCTATTACATCTCGCTCACGGAATGCAAAATCGATTCGATCGGAGCGTGCAAACTTTTGCTTCATATGATGTAGAAACAACGAGTTTGTATCTTGATTACGTTGGAAAATATACATGAAGATATTTATATTTATTTTGTATGATTTTGTAAACGAGTGGAGATATTATAAATTTAATTTATTTCCTAGACAACTGCGGAGTAAATCGGGATACAGTTTTGCATTATATTGATGCATTCGGATGCATTATTCAATCTAGTAGCGTAATTGAATAATTCCGAAGATGGCCCCGGGAGCATCGAAGCGGCCATCAATTCGGGAAATGGCCCCGCATCTAATACAGACATTTAATCCATCGTCTATTTGTACTGATTTGAATTCGGGCTACGAACGATCTCATTGTCTCGAGAATTGTCTTAGGGAGCAGTTTGCTCCTCAGGAAGACTACGGTTATTTCAGCTACGCCGGTGCTGCTATCAGGGTAGCGGGCCGTGGATGAGGTTAGCGCACCGCGGAAAGGGGTCGTCTAGAGGCAATCGGGCTAAACTACGGACTCATTTACACACTTAGCCCCGCTTCCGCCTGGCTCGTTCCCACCCCAGTCCACGGGAGAACCCAAATGGTTTTCATATTGTCTTTTTACCGCTCATTTTCATTTTATCGCTTGTTTGGCCACCGAGTCGTGCCGTCGGCTTTCGCAGCACGGCGCGTTTCATTCTCGTTTCCGCCTTCCTCCGTTTTCTTCGCATCTCGGATTTGTATTCGATGAAGCGATAACATCGTGGCGAGTAGATTTTTTTATCATCAATTCCGTTATCGATATTAATTCTAAATCTCGCTGATACGCGCGCGTCAAGATATTGAGAATGATAAAGCGACACGATGTGCGGTTTTCCATTTGAAAATTACAACGCGTTGTAATGGAAAGCATTCGAGAAATGGAAAGTATGCCATCTCGTGCAGTACTCCGCAGGCAATATCTTTTTGAAGTCAAACGTACGCGTCGTCACGAGCATTACGCAGCCAGGAAGGGAACGGGAAACCCTCGTGGAAAAGCATCGGCGGTACAGGGTCGGGGGTGGCCCAGAACGGACCGCCACGAGCACTTAAGACTATTGTTTTCAATGTAATTGGATAGCTCCTGCTTTCCATCTCCCTCCCTCGCTGCTTCCTCCTTCGCTTCCAGCAACTATCTCGAATCACGCGGAGGGTGGAAAGCAGCCAGCCAGCCAGCCAGCCAGCCAGCCATCCAGCCAGCCAGCCAGCCAGCCAGCCAGCCAACCAGTCCCCACGTAGCTTCGACAATTATCTTGATTGTTTTATGCATACACCAACGAACCCATGAGCAACTTATCTCCGGAGAAGGCGAACCGTAAAGGGAAACTGCGGTATCGCTTCACCGAATATCGCCTATTTCCATAATTCAAAGCCATACATCATTGATCGACACACCGACGAGTGAGAGACAGGCAATCATTATTACGTTACGTTTACTGCGCAAACTTAATAATTTCCATTTAATAAGTGTACGTCGTTATTCGCGCGTATGCTCTTGGCATTGAAAATGAAGCGCGCGCCGTTTATACGTATGTGGAATCCTCGTGGAGTGTATCAACTTTTCATCACCCATCCATTCCATACGTAAAGGGAAATTAACCGATAGACGTGGTCGATCCGAATCGCGATAATCTAATGAAAGCCCGCATACCTTGCCCCAATCGGCCTGTCGCCGATATTCACTCGAGGCACACGCCGCTATACGTATGTCGATCGCGTCGTCGAATCCGCAATTTGGCGCACATCGATCGCGCATTGGATCGCGGTGCTCTCGTCTCGCTGCGCGCGATCGTCTCAATCCTCCTCTCGACGCGGCTTTATACGCGGCGTTAGATATCCGCGGAGATCCGATGGAAACTCTACGCCCAGACAATGCGCTCGGCCGATTTAATTAGGATAAGAATCGCTCGGATCGAATATACACCGGCGCACAATGGGGTGTACGCCGAGGGGGAAAAGAGGGGAGGGGGGAGGGGATCGGGTGGGGGGGGGGACGGAGCCACGCTTCTGATGTATGTATACCGTGGCTCGCCTCCAAGAAACATGATACAGTGCCGGTTGAGAAAGGGGCTCGGGGGGGATAGATCTGCGGGCTGCGGTGGTTTCCAAAAATACCGCAGGCTTCGGCAAAAAGTATACGATCGGCGCCGTAGGAAGGGGAGTGACGTAATACCGCGAGCGCCACGTGCTAATTATGTAAAAATATGATGCGGTTCGCCCGCTTGCGGTGCAGCCGCGGGCTTTTATGCGCAGCCGGATCCTTTCGTGCTGGTCGATAGCTTGGCACGGGCCGAACATAGTTAACGTTAATTTTATGTCGAGATCGATGCGCATACATCAAAATATGATGTATATCGTGAGATTATAACGAATGCTTTTATTTGCTTGGTACACGCTTAATTATACGTCAATATTTTAAGAGTCAAAATTTGGGCGCGGAGAGCAGCGCTGAAGTAATTTTCGATGCAAATCGTAAAGTTCAGTTTTCTCTTACATCGAGGAAATTAACCGATGTGGCCATCGCGTGTCGTGCACGAATCGTCTTCGGAGGGATCGTCTCCGTTGGGAACGCAACTGTCGGCGGACTATTTACTTGTGACGATTACGTGCGTCTAATTTCATAATTGCGGTTAATGCGGGATTAAAATTGAGATGTCGCTGCGCCCGCGAAATTAATACGTTTTGCTTGGTGTAAATGTAATTGAGCGTCGCTGACGGTTTTCCACATCGCGTGCATACTGTTTTAATAGTCGGTTCATTAATCTTTTATTTTGTTTTTCGACTACAAAGCAAAAGTTTTCTTCGAGTTATTTGCGTGGCAACGACTATCTCGACTATTTGCGAGTTGCGGTGAATTAATGAATCAATTTTAGTGCGGCAGAAACTATCCGACGCGACGCTGATATTATGTATTCTAAACAGCGCTCTCTTAAATTCAACGAAGGTTAATGTCATGCGTTGAAGAAAGATACCGGGTTTGACGTAGCACGCAAGTGCGCCATGTCGCACGTGTGTTATACATCTTTTAGAAGCTTGGCACAGAGTTGACTGCGTAACAGCATCGGAAAGATTCCGCTCTTATTGCGAGCGCGATATTAATGCGCGCAGTAACTTCTCCGGAAGAGCGGTTGGAATGCTGTACGAATTTATACGCTTGTGTAGTAAGATCGATGACATATCCGGCGAGCGTATAATTTATCTATCTGCATTTCACTTGATGAATACGAAGCAACCGAATTTAAAGATCTTACGATATAAATATTTTCTTCTCAACTAAGAGAAAATACATTTATTCTTATATTTATTACTGCTGATTCGTATTAACATTACTTATTTTTTTCCACTCTGGTAATTTATTTTTCAATAATAGTTGACGTTCCTTCTATTTACGAAGAAAATATGGAATAATAAAAATTTTTTGCGCGAAGCTAGCCAATGTGCCAGCGCGTTGCTCCAAGTTGAGCAAAAATCGAGCAATTTTTTTCTTTTTGTCGGTCTCCTTTACTACGTTAGTATCGTTCTCGTATTTCTTTGGTGCGCTCTTGTATAGTTTCTCCTTCGCGAAAAGGAATACGAGCGACGGCGTGTCGCGGCTGGCGGATCGTTTCGGTGTAGCACGAGCGCATCTGCGCCGATGCGACCGCGCGATAAAACGCGATCGTCCGAGCGCGCGACATAGGAGGAACTTTTTACCGCACCGCTGTCTCTTCCGCCATTCTCTCCCCCCCCCTCTCCCCTCCTCTTGCTTCTACGTCTCTGTTCCTTTTTTTTTATTGTTGTTGTTGGCCAGCAATAAATAATATTTCGCAGGTGCGCCCAGACGACGCGGTGCCTGTAATGCGCGGATCGTCGCGCAGATAAAAGTTCGCGCGCGGCGCGCTGTGTTGCTCTATGTACTTACCTTGGTGCGCGATAAATCACTCGATAAATTGTTTGAAAGCCCGCCACGCGTTTGTCGACGAGACGTGAAACGATGAAGCGATGGTGGAGCGAGACCGAATAAAAATTCCCTGTTTTTTTTTCTTTCTTCTTTTATTTCCGCATTTTACGTCCGCTAATTGTTGCGCTTGACGTGACTGTTCTGTCGTGGACTAGTATTTAATAATTGCGATCTCCGGTCAGCAGTTTCCGCGCTAATTGGTGTCTGAGTTTTTGGCTCGCGTCGCGTTAATGGTTACTTAAGTACGCGAGATACCGTTCATGCTCAATTTCATCATTAACGAAGTGTGTTTGCTTTCTCTGCTTGCAGCATCCCTACCCTTCGGAAGACCAGAAAAAGCAGCTGGCACAGGACACGGGGTTGACGATTCTTCAAGTCAACAATTGGTGAGTAGACTGTTACACATTTTATACATACATTCATCGCGCAATTGTACTCGTGTGCGCATAAAATAATCATAATTGTCATTCCTACGGAAATGTCAATAAAATTGCAGATTATTTTTATTACGTGAGTTTTGCAAGAAAAAAAAATTGATTAAAAACGTTGTTACCTTTTATCTCAGTTTTTTTCTCTACTATTTGTAACTGAAAGGATTCGATAACTCTGAAATATACTCTAGAATAAAATTGTTGAAAAACTATGAAACACATATTTCATTCATAAGCATTTGTCATGAAGAGCTGCGATAATCTGGAATTTTATAGTCTGTATTCAGACTTTTGCGTGCTCGCGAGTATAAACAAAATTTATCTCTCGACCGTGATCGAATCTTCCCGCGCGACGACGATCGAAAGCTCGCTGCATGCGTGCCAAGCGAGAAACTTTTTCTAGACCGGCGGGCATGAGAGCGGCGGTCGGGCGTCGAATCATACGGCACGTCGCACGTGTCATATGCGAATTCCAGACACCCTGAAATTACGCCCGTACATCAAACGGAACGAGGCGTGCACGACCGGAGCCCCAGCACCAGCGATTGCACGTTGACGTTGCAACGAGCTGATTATTTCAGCGCGCCAATCACGCGAGTACAAACGGCGCGGTAGGCGTATGCGTGTCAGCAAGTCCGCGAGACGAGTCAAGCGGGCGTGCTGAATTTCGAAATCATCGTAATTTGTGTTTTTCTATGACCTCAAGAAAGCGCTGATTGCAACAGCACCTTTTTCTGTCTCCGATTTAACTCGCTTTGACGTATGCGTTATTGATACTCGTAACTTTGCTTGTTACATCGCGTGATCTCGATGAAAGTGAATATTTGCGAAATAATCACGAAGTAGTTGCTCATAATAGTTAGGAAGATGTAAGAAAGATATAAAAAAGAGAACATAGAGATTGCACACACGCCATCTAATCGAGGAATAGTTTCATAACGTAAGATTAGAAAAGTAATGTATAAAAAAAGGTAAAATAGTTTTAGGATGAGTTATAAAATTGTTATTAAAAATAGATTCAGCGCTAAATTTCATGTTACACTTAGAATCACTGTAATACCGTCGTGGAGAGATCATTCCGTCTCCGATAAAACGAAATTTATTCTGGATCGTTAGGACTAATCGGAAACATTTTGCCTCGATCGCATCATTGTCGATTGAAAATATCAGGTTACATAACTTCGTATAATGCCTTGCCATAATCCGCGCACGCTTTCCCATACAATTCATTCGTTCGCATCCGAATGTAATGTTCCGACTCCGGCGTGTTTTATCGCGCTGAATCTACATTGACGCACTAAAGTTTCTTTACGGTCCATGAAAATATTATTAGATTACCGCTGCTTTGTCGCGTAAAAATCCACGTGCCGCTAATATTTGGCGTACGGTTTCGTTACTTTCTTTCGCTCACGCAGCCTATATCCAGGCCCACCGTCGCCGTCCATGCGAACGAAATAATTTCTGCGAGGCCGAGTAGAAGCAGACGGAACCGAGCAAGCGTAAAGAGATGCATTTACATATGCAAGCACCAGTATAGGTTAGTTTATTCGCTTGTGCTTGTGGCAGGAGCATATAGATACGCTGTTGCGGACGAATTCCTTCATTAGTGATTCACGTACTATTTGCGAAATATTTCGACGAAAGAAAAAATTTTACTTTATTTTTACGATATTGCAATTCGTAAAAAATTAATTACAAAGTAAATTGATTACACAATATAATAATATTACAATTATTTTAATTATAATTAAATATTGAAACCAAACTTATTTTCCAAGAACCGTGAATTTTATCGGAATCTGTCGTGTAAATTTACAGTTTATTATTATTGAATAGTAGGCGCTTTTACTCGAGCGAACAACTCCGTTCGCTCTCAATCACCATTTATATACGAACGAATGCGTTCCATACTCTGGCCGGCTCGCGCTCGCATAATATAAATGCATCTTAACAATGTCGAACGACGCGCGTACCGGCGTAACGTACGCGTACTACGTTGCACACGCAGTGTTTAAAATAATATCTCGCTCGCGCTGTGCGCGCCGCCTCTCGCGGCTATGAAGGTGAAGAGCTTGTAAAACGTTTATGCGCCGCGTTCGCTTTATGCACCTTTAATCTCGGCGCGAAGTGCCGTGCTGGATATTATACTAGCCGCTATTATGTAGCGAGTTTACGATTTTCGTATCTGGGCCGTCAGTCGCGTCTGCACTCTCGACAATCTCTTTCCCGGTCGTTTTCGCTCGGTTTCTCTGTTTTCTCAGCCACGAAATTTTCTCTCGCTTCGCGACGTCTGCCTTTTCTCTTCTCCAACCTTTTCTATCTTCTCTCCCGCAATGGCTATCGTATTGGCAGACGCAATACCCGAGTCGCTCGCAATTGATATCAGGCGCTGATCGCGATTCCCTCTTTATTGCCGTTGTCTACCCGGCCTTCTCGCTAGTCATTATAATTTTTGCGGAGATAATACATTGCAATGTTGTTGCAATCTCGACATCGTTAATGTCCCGGCGAACCGGTAGGTAGACGCAATCGCATTCGAGGACGTTTCGCGAAGACATCACCGTTGTCGTCGTCGCAGGGCCGATAAGTGCAACCGTACTGACAATTACGTTAACGGCCAGAAATCACTTGTCATTAGCGTAGGCAGTTCGCGGATATCTCGGCGAATGAGACATAGATTACGAAACGGTCGGCGCAGGCTGATGCGGTTAAAAGCGACAAGTCGAAAAAAGAACAAGCACGCGCGAGATCGCCGCGCTGACACTTTACGGCCCGTCTTCGGTATACTCGCAATTTACGGATCGAGGAATGTAGTCCGCGAGATTACGCGTATATTTCTAATAACTAATTAATAAATTACCACGCGCTATGCTAATAAATTTCAGCGTGTGTGTATGTCATTCAAAACGAAATTTTGACACAATTTTGCATCCCACGCTGCTTACGCAACGACATCCGAGTCAATTATTTCGAACGTAGAAATATTGCTATTTCATTGATTACAATCAAATTAGGTTTTGTTTTTCAAATCATTATTTTATCTTGCGTAATAATAAAAAATCTTAATAAAGATTCCAGGCAACATTGTGATATTTCCGGTACTCATAAATCATCATTACACGGTGAATCACGCATTTTGTTTGATTTTCTGCGATTTGTTATTTGAAAAATAAAAAGGAATCACATCGTAGATACCGCTTTCGTAATGCAGTGTTTCAGCTTTTAATAATTTTCTCATTTGTATTTTTTTCGATCATCTTTGATAAACTAGCGCTCTCGCGAAGCTGTATTTTATATTCTAAGAATTTCTTGTATTTCCTTTCACGATGATAACCGTTTTTCGATAAAATTTTAAAATAACCGCGCGATATTTTCACAGCTTGTGAATTATTAGACAGCCGATCCGCATTAATTCGGGAAGAGGTTTCCGAAGACACGATCGTCGTCGCGACCGTTAATTCCCTGCGATCCGGTATTAGCTGGAAAGGGTTAAGACGACACGGAGAGCCGCCCTGTGAAAGCTTAGTCCTTTCTGTCCCGCGGAAATCCCCCGTTTCTTCGAGTTGATCCACCCCGTCCTGTTCTTCCTTCCGCCCTTTCTGCCTATAGGGAACGGGCCGGTGTCTCGCGCCCCCAATCTCGCTATCTTGATAGATGTTTCCGCGTGGCACCTGCGCCGGCATTCGAATTACAGCGGACCCTGTTTACCGTGATATTTAAGCGACACAGTCGCGTCACAATCCGGCCTCTGCAACCTCCACCCCCGCCTCTTCTCATGGATGAAATCGTGTCGCGCCGCAGTAATCTCTTTGGCTAACTTTAGCGGGAGCGAAGATCGAAATAATCCAGGTTACCCGTCGTTCCACGGGGATGTATACGCGACACACTGAGAGAACCAGCGCGGGATACGGCGTGCGGAATATAGGATGCGCCCGCGGTCGGATATAAAATGCGAAACGAATTGCGCCGCGTTTTCTGATGCATCGGTGCGCGACAGAATGCGTGTCTTATTTGCCTCCGTCTCCTTCTCATTTTCTTCTATTTTTTTTTCTCGTTGCGCCGCGACGCCGCGGAGACGCGGCTGGCTTGCGACGCGTATAAATAAAATCGTTGCGAACGTCTCGCGTTGGCTTGGAGCGAGCGAGAATGAGGAGGACGCGAGGGCGGAGGATCGCGGTAATTGAGCACAAATCAAGTTTAAGGAGGGCCCACCGGTAGCGATCCGCGAAGTTGACGCACAGCGAGCTGCGTTGCGCGTCGTTTATATTTATTTCCATCGCGTTCCTGAGCGCCCACGCAACGCCGCGGTAATTACGGAGCCGCGGCGCTTCGTCATAGCGCGGACGGCGCTAATTGTGTCGTCGCGATCGGAAAAACGATAAACCTGAAACATTTGGCAGAACGTTGTTTGTGTTCAGTATTTTTCATTCTTGTCAGCTTTTCTCGGTTGGTTTTGATGAGATAATATTTCTTTAAAAAATTGATTTTCCTATAAATTTTATTGTAAATAAAATATTAAATATAATTATATTATTAAGTTAATCAGTTATTTTATTAAATTATACTGTTTGTATATACATCTTTATTTTAATTTGTAGAACTGATGAAATAATATTGATTAGTGCCATTTCTTGCGAATCAAAAACATGCATCGAAAGAAAATTCCTTTAAACATTTATGAGTTAAGATGTTGAGAAAGAGTTTAGACACATGTTATTTGTTACAGTATTATCTTTTTAACTCTCTTTCTACTTCTACCGTTAAGCTTGAAACGGTCGCTTGATCTTCATCTTCTTTAGTATTGGCGTACGAGCTTCTTTTACGAGGAATAGCATCGAGCAAAAAACAGGGGTGAGGCGAGCTACATACCGCGTTTTTGCATACCGAGACGAAAGTGCGCACGTCGTGATGTACGATTCGCGTGGGTGGGCAGGTATATAAGGGCGCGTGTGTAG